GTATCTTCTGGGGGCCGTTACTCAATCTGTCTTACTCAGGACCTTGAATACACCTGACTTCATGAACTTCCCTCTGTCTGTTCTCTACCAAAATATGAAGCATATGTCCAGAAACACAACATTCTTTGCCACAGATTGAACCGACTGGCCTATGGAGGGAGAGTTGACTCAGTAATTGAACCAGCATATCTGGGATAGGTGGTGTGGTAAATGTTAGAGACTACCCAGCAGATTTAAAGGTACATGGCAGAGCTGGCCAACAAACAAAGAGCTGCTCTTCCTTAGTTCATGCCAACTGAATGGATGAGTGGATGAATACATGGAAGGCCGTCTTTATGGATGTGCATGTTCTACTTCAATATTTGGTTCCCCACAGCCTGCCTGAACTCCCTTGTCACCCCCCTACTAACTCTTCAGTTTCTTGTCAACTTTTCTAGAAGGAGCATTTTGCCAGTGCTGTGAAACAAAGCCTCCTAGAACTCCTCTCCTCTCCCGTCCCCTCCTTGCCAAGCTCCACAGTCCAGGACTTTACCCTCTACAGCCAGTGCAATAGCTAATCCGTTCCAGTTGCATAAGAATTTAAAAACAATAAGACTATTGAAATGTGCACTGGCCTCCTTCCAGCAGCTGCTCAAGGTGTTTACTCTGGAAAAGGTGCCGAATTATATGTCCCTTCTTTGTGTAAATCCTCCTGTACTTGCATGTTTCTGAAGAAGGAAGGCCCTTTCCTGTGGGCTGTATATGGTGAGGTGGTGTTTTTCTAGGAGGTGGAGGAGGCAGTTGAACCTTGAAGCATCTTGTAAGTGAGGCCTTGGAAGGCAAGCCAGAGAATTTGAGAAGAGGAACCTTTGGCATGGCCCAGTAATAGCACTTTTTTATTAGTTAGCTGTGGGTGGTGGGGCTTTGAGATAATTGCAAAATTATGTCCTCATAGAGGGACCAGTTCCCCCCTCCATGTCTTTTAAAAGAAGTAACTGTCCTTTTAACTTTCTCTGGAGTCAGTTGAGCTACAACATGTACCTTCATTTGTTCCCATTTTAAAATCAATTACCTGGATCAGACTGCTGTTAAACATGATTGGCTGCGTCAGCCTTTTCTAGTCTGTAGGTCATAGTTGTTTCTAGTCTGTAGGTCTATGTAAAATAACCCAGCCGCTGCCCCTGACGGCAGGCCGTAGGACGTATTTCAGAGACACTGCGAGGAACAGCTCCCAGTGTATAACTGGAAGAATGCAGGATACTCCAATGTCATTTTGCAAAAATGCCTCTTACCTTGTTCAGAACCCCAAAAGCTCTGAGGAAGTAAGCCATACAAAGAGCTCCTGCCTCCACAGCAGATGTCTTTAGAGACTAAGGTCAGATTACCCTCCTTTTTCTGTTAGCCCCCACCAACTCCTTCACAGGATGAGACCATTACGACGAAATGGGTACCCAAGGAAGAGAGGCCCATTTCAGCAGTGAGGATCGTAGTGAAGTCTGAGAAACATCGTGTACTGAGGATTGATGTGTGTTCTTTCACTGAAAGGATCCTGGGGAAACCAGAGTTAAGCCAGCAAAAGATGATGCAAGTTGACATAAGCTTTCTCTTCGTTTTCGTTTTTGATACCACCTTTTTTATGGCAGAAGTCTCTTGTTGTTCACTGTCCCCTTTTAAATAAAACCAAAGGGAAATATCGAAAGGCGTAGTTGGCAGCAGTGAGAACACATCAAGGTCTGCAGAAGAGAGGTGTTTCGCCCACTCTTTTCCATAGTCTGATCGACCAGGGAGGACACTGTAATGTCTTTTTCATCTGGTCTCATGTTCACACTTGAGTCCTTGTAGTTGGTTAATTCTGAAAAACATATCCATGGCAGCTGGAGGGAGCCTGCAGGCCTCTTTTTATCTGGGGGAGTCTGCAGATCTGTTTCATGGCATGGAAGGCGTGAATGTACATCATTACACTAGAAACTTGCTCCTAAGCTGCCTTGGGTGAAAAGGGTGTGTGTGTGTGTGTGTGTGTGTGTGTGTGTGTGTGTGACACTGAGAAATGAAATGGAAAGACACAGAGAAAGACAAATTGAGAGGAACAGAGAGACAGAGGGTAGGAAGAGAGAGACCCTGGTACAGTCATTATAGGAGACAGAGACATGGACCAACCTACACATGGGCGGCCTGGGGTAAAGCACCGCCGCTTCCTCCACTCTCCGCATCCCAGCTCATCTTCTTGGCTTTACCTGGGGGGCCTTGGTGTTGATTAATGGGGGCTGCTTCCCACCTCAGCTGCCCGGTTGGAAGACCCTCCACGCTTTCCCCAGCCTCTAGCTTGGTCGGAGATGAGTAATGGGGAAATCCCCCCCTTACAGCAAGGGCGCCGTTGTGAGAAAGCTGCCCTGAAACATGACCTCCCAGATTCTTCATCTGCTTTAAATAATGCATCCACCTATCTGTATGATTTTAACTTTTTTTCTTTTAGAAATTTGCATTTTTTATTTACACAAGTACACATAACTCAGGAATCTATTCCCATAATAAAAATGTCCAGCACAGAGATAGCACTAAAGATACCTTGGTTTTCAGCCCCAGTCCTTATTTCCTCCCCAGACATAAGCAGGACCATAAATGTGGAAGGTTCTTTCCAGAGTTTTAAGTAATTTAGCTAAACATGGATGTACCTAGAGAAATATGTAGGTGTATGTTGTGTGTATTTACATAAACCGTATTACACTGTGTGTAGCATTCCGTAGCTGTGTAATTAAAAGGTAAATGGTATCGCACTGTTCATGTTTCATATCATTCTGTGGCTTCCTGGTTTCCCTTAATGGTGTGTGTTAAAGATCTTTCACATCAGGTGTACCTCACCTTGTAACGTGTGCCAGGATATGCATATACTGGACTTTTCCCCTTTATCTCTTTAGGGAGTGAATGGCATTGCTTTATTTTCAATGAAGTATTTCAAGTTATTATTTTAATAACTTTCTGGAATAGATCTATATCTTAGGTAGAATTTTTTCTCTGTAAGTGGTACTGAGCTCTAAGGCTGGTTGGTTTCTTATTAACCCCCTTAGGATGTCATTGTCAGGATCTGATCATGGGACTTGGGAACTGAGTTGGGTAGTAGCTTTACTTTTTTTAATGTCCTGGAAAAATGTAGGTGCACAGGATTTACCTTTTCCTTGAAGATTTGTTAAACTCACCTGTAAAACCATATGGGCCTAATCTTTATTATTTCGTCAATTGCTCCCTAGGTCTTTGGTCTGTTGAAGTATTCTGCTCATTTTGTGAGCCAGTTCATTTTTAACTTTGAAAACCTGCCATGTTATTTAGATTTTCAAATATTTTGATTAAAGTTATGCCTGGTATTCTTTTACAGCTCTCACCTTTTCCTCTCTGTACTTTCCTCCATCTCTCTCTCTCTCCCAACACGTGCCCTTTTATTTACTATGTAAGTGTTCAGATTACAATTCATTTGTAGTGATCGCTCTTTGACTATTTTTTGACTTCATGTTACATGTCTAGGTTTTGATGTATAACGTTCCCACCATTTGTTTCTAAGATATTTATAATTGCTGCTTTGACTTGTCTGCAAAACTCAAGAATTATTTAGACATATGTGTATAAGTTGATGTTTTTTCCTATGTATACAGATTTTCTGCACTTTCCGTCATTAATTTATAAGTTGGCCTAGTTTTGGTCAATAAGTATGGGGATCATAATTTCTGCCTCTTGAAAAATGCTGAGATTTTCTCTATGGCCTGATCATGATGAGAGTTTAGATTGTTCTGTGTGTAAGGAGTGGCTGGGGGGTACAACAAGGGAATGAAGGAAAGATAGAGATAGGTAGAGGTAGGTAGAGATGGTCGAGGTGGTAGAGGTAGAGGTAGAAGTAGAGGTACCTGGTTGTCTAACCTTCTGTTTCCATTTCGCATTTCTCTGCACCTCTCAGCCATGCTTTCTGTTTCCTTTGTGTTGTTTTCTCTGAGACTTCCTTGACTCAACTACATCTGAGTTCTCTTTATAATTCATATTTTAATATTCTTTATAATTCTTTAAAATTCTTTACCTTTTAAAGAATTCTTTAAATTTAAAAAAACTATAACTCTTAAAAGTTTGATTTCAACAGTACTTTTTTAAATTTCTAGAATTTGTAATTCATTATGATTTGGGAACAGAATGCACTCCCTCCTCCCTCGGAGGATATCTTAAGCCATACTTAAGCCAAAGCTACCTGTCCTGCTGTTTCCTTGGGTGTGAGTTCTTCTGCTTACTGTGCTTGGTGTGTAGCTCCTGTGTTCTTGGCATTGCTTAAGTACCGGGTGATTCTTGGTGGGTGCTCACCTTGTCATTTAAAATGTTGTGCATGCAACTGTTGAACATGCACCACAGGGCATGGTGCTGAGAGTGGTGGGTAAAAGGGACCCCCAGCTTTTCTAGGTACAGGCAGCCACCCTGAACAATACCTGGGCTCTCTGTCAAAGTCATCTCAACCTTTGCTAGACAGCAGGCATCCTGTTGTTTCCTGAGTGGCCCAAGTGAGGAAGAAGTGAGAGAGGCTTTACCGAGGGCAGTAAAAAGTTGCAACCCCTCCCCCTGACCTGCACTCCATGCCCCCGTGGACGCCTCCTGCCCATTCAGGCATCTTCGGGCTCTAGGGTAGGCTTTGCAGCAGCCCCTCCTATGTATAGGTTCAGGTGTGTGGTTTCTTTCTCTTATCTGCTGCCATCTTCATAATATGATCTTATTTGATATGATCTGAAGAGAAAGGGGAAGCTTCCCAAATGACTACCTCTGTTATTTCTTAATGGTATTATTTCTCCAGGTTTAGAGATGAAGAGAAGAGAAATTTGGGTCAGATATGGGGAAGAAAGAAAAAAGACAATTTATGCACTTGTTCCGTGTGTATGAAGAAAAGCTTTGCAAACACATAAATATAAAGTAATTAACCTTTGACCTTCACTTGTTTTTAAATTTGTGTACTAATGAGTTTTTTTTGTGTTTGTTTTTTTTAGGTCTTGAATATAATCATGGCCAAACCTTATGAATTTAACTGGCAGAAGGAAGTTCCTTCCTTTTTGCAAGAAGGAGCAGTTTTTGACAGATATGAAGAGGTAAAGAGGTGTTACTAATCCTTTCTCTCAAAACATTCTTATAATTATTTCATTTTAATTACAGTATTCAGTAAATAGTCTCTGACAGAGTAAGAACATCTTTGAGATTTATAAGTTGGAATAGTTGGAATGAGGCAGCTTAGGAGATATAATAATGATAATGATACTGTATTTATTGAGCACTTACCATGTGCCAGATGTGTTGATAATGATGCTATAAATTATTGAGAGCTCACTGTGTGCCAGACTGTCTTCTAAAGCATTTTATGTGTATGTTTAATTCCTCACAACACCCTTACAGGGTTGTTGCTGTTATTATCTTCATTTCACAGATGGGTTTCATGTAGTAACAGTCTTCGCTTAATGAAGTGCTTTGGGCAGGCTTTCTGCATAAAACTTTCTATGTTATAAATGCGACAGTGATTGGACCTTGCGCTAGTCATTTGCTTTGCAGGTTTCATTCATACAGAACAGTTTGACCTAAGCTTTGCATGCCTCTGCTTCTGTCACTTATTGTTTCTGCAAGGTGGCAGGTGGCTCCAGGCTTTTTATAGAGCAGGGGCTTGGGAACCACCAATCTGTTCAGAAGGTTGAGGAGGTGGGTTGAAGCCTCATGAGCATTGTAAATGCCTTGTTTTTCTTAGATTGTACTTGAATTTGAGGTGAATTGGATAGGGGTCTGTGGTGAAACTGTGTCACCTCTAAGGCAAAGTGAAATGTAAAACGCATTAAGACTCCATTTAGAGTCAGAGTTGGTTCCATTCAAAATCAATGGAAAGTTATGTTACCATCCTGCAGGAACAATACGTGACAGGAGCAGAGGCATGCAAAGCTGAGGTCGAACTGTTCTGTATGAATGAACCCTGAGGTTCAGATTGTCAGGCCTTGCATTATGTCTGGGAGCCGATGTGACTAAGTACTTCTTGACTTGGTTTTTCCAAAATGTGTTTCATAATACTCTCTAGATTTACACCAAAGTTGCTTTTTAAGTAAACAAAATTGAGCAAGGCAAAGGATGGGCCCCACTGTGGTCGCTGTTTCTTGTATTGAATTAAAGTATTGAAGTGACAGCTATTGATATGACTGAAACTTTACTGCTTCTCAGAAAGGATAGCTAATTGTATTCTGCTATAAGAAGAAACAGAAAATAATATTCTATGTGGACACAACCACATTAATTCTTTGGCAGTTTTCCTTCAGTCTTTTTCCTTTTTTCCCCTCTTTCATAGTTATGATCATAGTGTAAACTTTTGCAAATATATATCATGACTCCCTATTGTAGGATAGAGGAAACTGGTCAGAATGAAATACAAGGCTTTCCATAATTTGGCTCAGGCCTGTTTCTACAACTTCATTTCCTACAAACTTCCTACACATATTCTCTGCTTTAGCCATAAAATCCAATTACAATTCTACCAGTAAACTTTTCTATTACATGTTTCGTGTATGCTGCCCTCTCTTTCTGAAATAGACTTGTTCCTCTTTGTTATACTGGTGAACTCCTACTCATCCTTCAGAACCCAGATGAGAATTCCCCACCTCTTTGATATCTTTCTTGATTCATTCAATAAGAATTGATAACTCCTTTGTGCCACTACTAACATCCCCTTGCACATATTACACTTCAGTCACCTTTATTTAATGTTTTTGTCTCTCCTACTATACTCTGATTTTCTTGAGGTCAAAGACCATATTTTACTTATCTCTGTCCAGGTACTAGCAGAATGCCTTCAACTGCTAAATTCAGTGTAGATGTCTAGTATCAAAAGGGTCTTTAGATACAATTGATTCCAGCTCAGTCTGGTTAAGTTGTTGTTGATTTGTTCTTCTTGATCATTGAAATGGTGAGAGGACTTGATAATACTTGAGACCTGTGTGGGGATCTGTACTTCAACAGATTCAAAATATTAGGGTAAACCATATGAGATTTTTATCTTTGAAATTATTGTAGTTGACTGCTTTTATCCACTTTATACAGCTTGGCAAAGAGGGCCAAGGACTAGTTTAGGTGTATTTCTAAATCTTCCCTCAGGTAAGCTGGGTCTAGGTCGGGTACCTGTGTCACCAAGATGATGGCCATTGCCCTTCATTATGAGCTGGTGAGAGACGTCACTCCCTGAATCTGCTAGAGTGCCCCAAAAGGTTGGCAGTTTCTAAGGCAGTTTCCCAGGCTCTGCAAAACTATAGGGTAATTAGAAAATACTACATGGCTTCCAGTTGCTCAGAGAAGGTCATTGTGAAGTCATTAAATTAAATCATTGCTTGAGCATCTGTAGTACTGTCATATGAGCAGAAACATATTAGAGGAAAATGTGCTTTTTTGATAAATAAAGTAAAATGTGATTTGATGAATTGGAAGTTCATCAAAATGGAATCATTTTTTATTTCTCATGATGATTTTCTTTATTAATCATTGTGGCTCGCTCACATTTAGAAAATACTGATTACTTGTGTTTCTAAAGGCATTTACTTTTTCTCCAGGTTCCTCTGAAAATGAGGTAAAACTAGGAGGAAAGACATCGTGAACAAGTATTAAATACATCTAGCTAAGCTTTCAACTTTCTGAAGTGCTGGTTTACTAGGATTTTAAGCAAAAAAAAAAAAAAAAAAAA